CGTTAAGAGTTATAAATAATTACTGGATTTAATAAATAGAATATGGGTCCTGAGAGCAAAAAGGTAAGTAAAATGAAAATGCAGGCCGGGTGTGATGGCTCATGCCTATACTGTAATCCCAGTACTTTGGGAGGCTGTGGTGTACAGACTGCTTGAGCTCAAGACTATGGGCAACATGGCGACATCCCAACTCTACAAAAACTACAAAAAAATTAGCTGGATGTGGTAGCATCTGGATGTGGTAGCATGTGTCTGTGGTCCCGGCTACTCAGATGGCTGAGGTGGGAGGACCACTTAATTCTGGGAGGTGGAAGTTGTAGTAAGAAATGGAAAATAAACACACATTAAAAAAAAAGAAAGGAAAAGAAAATGCATGCTGATCATTTTCTTAATAGCAGTTCTTGATAGTTTGTCTACTTATTTCTGACTTCCCCATCTGCCATGTCTTATTACTTTTTATTAAAATAGAATAAGCAAATCAATAAATTCTGAGTAAAACCATGAATGAAGGGAAAATACTGGCAAATACTATTATCCCTTTTTGTCATTACAGAATAATAGCAGCAGCTTACTAAATGCCAAACATTGTCCCAAGCACTCCTAATCTCTTTTCTTTCCCACTTTGCGAATAAAGAGAGTGAGACAGCTATGTTAAGGACTTGTCCAAGGTTATCCAACCAGTAAAAGGCAAAGATGGTTATGAATTCAGATAGTCACTCCAGAATCTCTTCTATCAACCATAGTATTACATGGTTTTAGCAACTGAAGGCCAAAGAAAAAGATTTCAATTTTCTGAGCAAAAATTATTTTCAGCCTATGATTATAAATTAAAGCAATTTCATGTCATTTCTTTCCTCAGAGATGCTAGCTCTGTAAGAAATGTTAATCAATAATAAATCATGTGTCAATATAAAATCAACCATAAGGCATAAAGAAATGTTTATCCCTTAGGAGTCTTAGAGTGACTTCTTAATAACCACTGATGAAGACTGACCTCATGGTGATCTCAACCACATTTTCTAATTTTTTTCCCAAATTCATTTTAGGAGGGAAAAAAGTGAACATAATCAATCATCATGTCATTATTAATACAACTTTTGTATTTTAACTCCCCTTTGTTCAAATTAGCATTTTCTCTTTGGAAGTCAGAGGTAGTCAGCATTAATATATTTATAACATCACAGAAAATTAAGTAGGTAAGAAAATAACAAAAAATTAAAACATTAACCAACATTACTCATCCTGAATGTTACCCTCTAACAAAAATCTGAAGTCAACAAGTTGTAAAGTATTGGTATACAATTTAAAAGCAAATGCCTAAAAATAAATATAATCCTGAAAAACAATTCTTTGAGAGTAAAATCTTCATAACATGAAACAAGAAAGTGGTAAAACAAAGAAAATCTCATTTTTGACCTTAAAAAAAATATTTCCTCGTAAAATAAAAATGTCATCAAATTTGAAAAAGAAATATGTTCCCAGTCTCAGATTATAAATTCACTAAAATAATTATGACACAATATTTCTTATGTAAATTAAATCCATAAACTGTACTGCTATGTCCAACTGAGACATCTATTTCTAATAAAAATAAGGGCACTTAGTTCTGAATATCAATAGTTAATGAAAACTATAATAAGAAGCTTCTTTATTATAACGAGTCAAACAACTAGGACAGTAAGTTTTAAAATTCCAACTAAGAGAATAGAGAAAATATAAAATTTACTTGTTAACAGTCTCTCTCATTTTAATGGTAAAAAGTATTCTAAAAAGAGAGTTTACCTCCAATGGAAAAATAAGAATATACTTATGACTGTGGAATAAACAGACATAATGAACTACAGAATGACAAAAACTTTTAATAAAAATGTAGTAAAAGTATACAATTAAATGCAATGCATAAACACTGACAATAGGGACACATTATTTAATTCATAACAAGAAAATGGGATATTTGGAAAACAATTTAAAAATACTACTGATAAGATCACTCTGATGACTTATGAAGCTCTGGAACTCATCACATCTGTACCCTACAAAATAACTAACCTGATTGTCTCTCTTCTCAGCTAAGATATAAGCAATGTCAAGGAGCATTTTATTCCAAAGCCGATAATCATATCTGGCCATAACTGCCTTGTAACTGTCCATGCACATAGTCTTTGAAGCAGAGGATTAAATGTTCCTGCCCATTTTATCTAGTCCCCAAGACTTGTCCTGTAAAGTGAATAAAAATGATTATCTTTTAATCTATTCCTTGTACATATAGCATTAAAAATAAGAAAAGGGCAAAGATGAGAACAAAATGTCCTTGAAAAGATGGATAATTGTTGGTCAACCTGGAATTAAGTTCTCAGCAAGCCCTTTGTGCTTTGTTAATTGGTAGGTGATTGCTATGTCTCACATTTTATACAAGTGAGCCTTGGAAGATATGACCATTAATTAGTGTAGACACATGGAAATTATAGTAATACTTTGAAGCAAATTGAGAGCACGACTGAAGAGTAAGTTTTATCCTTTGAAAATTCTGTATAAACATGTTGTTTGTTTTTTTGATATCTGATTTTGAAAAATAATTTCAAATTTAAACAGGCTACATGATGATATTAATGTAAAAAGAACACAGGTGAAAACAACATCACATTCATGAAGTAGTTTTAAAAGTTATGATGGATATAGGTAGATTGTGGAAAGACACAGAAAAGCAATGGGGGGAGGCAGGAGACAGTCAATTCAAAAGGAATAGGAAGAAAGCCATAATGAAAATATATTTAAACATATGTAACATTAGCAGATAGAGATAACCAAAGGGATAAATATAGAGAAAACGATACAACAAAAGTTACTAAAAATGAGCAAAGAAAAAACTGAAATGGATCATGATAAAGGCAGTAAAATACAGTAATGCTGCATTTACATGGCAATGGAGGACAAGTAAATCAATTAAAGTGCATTATTCACAAAATTAAAACAATGTTTTAAGAGTTAAAATATTCTGCATATTTCTATAATACAGCACTCCTCTTATGTTCCTAGAGCATACGGCATATACTTAATCTTTTAAACAGAATGCATACAAGTTTCTAAATTAAAGAATGGTAGCTTGCCCCTACAGAGAAGCCAAAGATGGTATTGTAACTTAAGATCTGTAAACTAATTTTTGTGTCTTCTTGTTTTAAATAGTCATTTCACAATACTATCAGCCCTCAATTAACTTGTTGCTTCTCCTCTCTTGGCCTTGGGAAACCCAGATAATAACTTCTGTATCAAAGCAAATTAATTAATTTTTATGACAGCAATATTAGTCATTTACAAGCAGTTTCTACTTTATTTTTTAAGTTTTTTTTCCTTCAAAATTGCTGAATTTCCTATGCATATGACAACCAGGTAAATAGGCATTACTGTACACAGAAAGAAGTAAGAAAGATGAAAAGGAATAGAAAACACAAAGAAAAGAAAAAAAGCAAAGACCAAATGCAGAGGATACTACTAAAGGTCATAAAATTAGGAAAAAAAAATGTAAAATATTATATAACTGTTTGAATAATGAACAGCATTTTTACAGTAACTTTTTAAAAAGGATCAACTGGGTACAAAATCTTTTTCTTCCTAAGAAGACACTATCAAAATATAGAATAAACTGTATCTGATGTACGTTCTACATAGATATTTTTCAACAATTACATTTTTATTTTGTCTTTTGAAAAAACATAAAATTTGATAAAATATCTACCTCTCTTCCTAATGAGAAAAGAATACTCTCAGAAAAAACAAACTGTGTTTCATGTTTATTTTCTTAGAACTGTAACTAACAATGAAAGATACTATGAATTCACTAAGTGAAAAAAAGAGAATTGGGAAAAAAGGAATGAAAAAATATATAGATGATTCCAGTTATTTTCATATTGGCTTTGGGCAACAGGTCAAGCCAGAAAATGACAAAATTTTAAAGCAGGCATTTGCAATGAGTAGTTCCCAAATCACCAAGTATCAACACTGTCTAGGAACTTCTTGCCCAGCAATCTGTCACAACAAGCTCTGTAGGTGATTCTGCTGTGTACTAAAGTTTGAGAAACAGTGCTTTAAATAAATTAGATAAATGAGAATTTAAAATTTAAATGAATAAAATGTAATTAATGAGTCTAAATCTGGTTTATTATGATAGTAAGTAAGATAAATACGGGCAAAGTTACTGCTACTAAAAAGGATGTAATTTGGGATTATTTAAACATACAGTTATGAACACCCAATGAGTATACACACATTCCACTAATATGAATTTTTAAAAAATAGTCATTTTAGGTAGTCACAGTTAAAGCAGGGAAGGAGAAACAGAACAACTGCTAAATTAAGAAAATTACCTCGTTATTGAAAATCAAGAAAAACAAAGAATACAGTTGGTTGACAAGTTGTCATGATAATTCTAAAAGAAAGCAAAAGTGAAAACTAATCTGTTAGTTCTTCAAATTATCTACAGCCAACCTTAAGAACTGATTTTAAGATGTTAATATTTGAATATGTTTAAGCTATTACAGCGCTAGGAATAGGAAGAATGTCTGTTACCCTACTGGATGAAACTGTTCCAAATATATAAACAAGTATTTACCTACTTATCTTTAATAATAATGAGCAATAAAACAATGTAATTATGCAAAGAGAAAACAGAATAAATTTGGAATTTCAACTATTATTACTTGGGTTTTCCAAAGAATTTGGCCTAATGGTCTCTTAAAATTTCTCTAGTTATAAATAAAGATGCACATCGGTACTAAACATTCAGATAAACATTTGTTGACACTGGCCAGAAAATTTCTATTTTCATTCTTAAGGTTACCAAATGCTAGTTATCAAACTAGGCATACATTTTAAGAAAAACTATTCAAATGAATGTTTTATTCTAATTAAATTTTTAATTAAATCTTATTCTCATTAAGTTTTTAATCAGAATAAAACATATTCAACAAAACTAAATGAAAGGAAATAAAATGTTGGTTACTTACCAGCAAGGGTACTTGTATGCCTAAAAGCTCTGACCTGGGAGTCTGACAAACCCGTCAAAAGGGAGATTACTGTGTCCATCATATACTCATCATAAATTATGCTATACTGACATTGTCGAATCAGGACTCCAATAAATTCACAAAAGTTTGAACGAAATTTTTTCCACTGAGGTCCAGGCATGGTAAGGGGATAATCACCACTGTCCTAAAAAAGAGAAAAAGAACATATTCAGTATGTCATATTAATAGAGTTTGATCAAAGATTTTTTTTTCTTCCTACCTATATAGGAACCCTTTTGTGCAAAGCAGTTATAAAAAGAAATAGGTGACTTTTGTGGTACATTTGATTGATTTATCTTTCTTTGGTTTTGATCTACCACGGCTAAGTAATTCTTAAAGTACTCAAAATAACTATTTTAGAACCAGCATCTACTTTATTGTTCTAAGCCTTTCGTTGAAAATAATAGTTCCCCTTTGTTGTATTTGGATCTTAGTTGAGATAATTCGAAATAGTAAAAATTTTTAAAAGTTTTGACTAGAAAGGATGATTGCTATTTGAATTTTGAACAAAGTAAACATGATACCTGTGTCACAGTACATCTTTCAATATTTTGAACTAAATTTTTAAGAAGCAACAATTTGAAAAGTATAAGCATTTCATTTAGAAGTCCAGAATAACCTTTTACACCTGAAATTCCAATCTAATTTCTTCAAATTTTACTATGAACTCGATTTTAATTCTACTTCATACACTGGATTAACTTTTCTAAGAAAAAAATCTGTGTTCTTGATATCACCAGATTGTGTCATCTTGTTTAAAACACAAAACTTAGAGTACAGCCCAACTGGCTAGCGGTTTCCCTCTCTGGCCTAATACACTTAAGTACAGAAATAGAAATTAACAAGGTAGAGAATGAGAAATTCTGTGAACACAGTTGCCTAAATATTCTCAATGTGTAGCTTTTTGTCTTTTCTAGAACAAAGTGCTGTTAGATCCCAAGAACATGTAACAAAAAGCAGAGATTAGAAGAGACTGGACTCAGAGTCAAAATCCTGAAAGAAAGTTAATGTTGGTGCTACATGAGTGGTAGGGGGTGCTACATGACTGGGAATGTAAGTGTAGATTGGAGAAGTTATACAGACTAGAGAGCAAATATATTTCCTAAAGGTATTTCAGCAGTCTATCTGCTGCTTCTATATCACAAAACCCCATTATAGTAAAGTTCCTCTTGTTTTATACCAACTAAGAGAATCAGCCATTTTGTGATCCACAACAACTGAACCTGGGCCCCAGGGAAACTACAGAGAAAATAAACCACCTAACCAGGCTCAACATCAAGTGAGGAAGGGAAGGCAGAATAATCAGTACTTCGGAAAACCTGAAAAACAAGCATACTTCAAAAGATTCAAATGTAGTACAACAAACAAAACCCCTAAGGAACTAAAATAATTGATTTCTTAATTAAACAATTCAGTTCATGAATTGAAGAAAATAATGATCATTGACAGGAGATACATAAGTAGCCTGGAAAATAATGTGTAAGAAGTATCTGAGGGGAAAAAATGTAATTTGCCAGATAAGTCTTCTGGAAAAGCCTTCTAAAGTGAATGACTGAGGTATTATGTCTTTATTCCTTTTTTCCTTCTTTTCACTGATCTGAAATGCATAAATGTTGCAGGGTATTCAGTCATCTTGCAACCATGAAGAAACAAGTATGAGGATCATGAATGCTGAAGAGAAAAATGGGAGGAGTCTAGGTCCTTGATGACTACTCCCACATTTACTTTGCACGACAAACTCCTTTGAGTTTAAGCCACTATTGGTCAGCTTCTCTGTTACTTAGAGACAAATGCACTCCTACTGTTGGAGAATAATTATGAGCAGTGAAGAAACATGAATTATTTAGTAAATGATTCTGGTACAACCGGTGTTTACTAGTGGCTTCCATTTAGGATGTAGAAGGCAACAATGAGAATAAGCCAAATCAACAACAAAAAAAGCCTTAACTTTTCTTGAGGTCATTTTGAGCTGAAGTAATTTAAATTCCAAAGAATGATAAAGCCCTCCAAGAAGAGATGAGTCATACAAACTCTATCACTGGTAGTAGAGCCTGGGAAGAAAAGGAGACCGCCATAAAAATGGGTGAAAAGAAATCAACTAAAATTGTAATACACTGTGCAACACCTAGGGGCTGCTAGCTTGTCAGTATGGAATGACAAGGGGAGTTTGCACTCACTTAAAACTATATTCCACAGGTCTTAGGCTTGGCACAGTGGCTCATGCCTGTAATCTCAGCACTTTGGGAGGCTGAGGCAGGCGGATCCCCTGAGCTCAGGAGTTCAATCAGCCTGGGCAACATGGCTCTACAAAACATCTCTACAAAAAAAATACAAAAATTAGCTCTGTGGGGTAGTGCATGCCTGTAGTCCCAGCTACTCAGGAGGCTGAGGTAGGCGAATTGCTTGAACCTGGGAGGCAGAGGTTGCAGTGAGACCACACCACACCAGTACACTTTCAGCTAAGGACAATAGAGAGACTTTGTCTCAAAAACAAACACAAACAAACAAGCAAGCAAACAAACAAACAAAAAACTATATTCCACAGGTCTCAACCAGGTACCAGGTACTCACAACAAAGCCTGGGGACAGGGAAGAAAAACAAAGAACACCTCTCTTGTTGAGGCAGGCCTATGGGGGTAATCATGAACTGCTGGGGGAAAGACGAGATGTCTAGCTCACTTCTCCAGGCCTCTCTAGTCTACAAAGTAGCCCCAATGTGGTGGGAAGAGGAGTAAGAAATCGAGTCATCTGGCACAGCAAAGACCCACTGCAGCTGAGAGAAGTGTAGAAGAAAAAACCCTCTATGTGGGGGAAAGAAGGAGACAAAACAATGTCATGAGACCTGAATCCTATACCAATACCAAGCAGAGGCCTGCCAGTATTGAAAGAGGGGCAGAAACCTTGACTGTTGCTTAACTATGAAAAGCCAAAAACTATACGTTATGGCTTATTGTGTGAGATAACTGAGAAAAAGTGCTCCATGACTTCAGAGTACATCCATGCAGAGTCCATCATTTGGGTTTTCGACATTTAATAAGTTTGCTTAAAAAATCTGTAAAACAGAAAAAAAGCATTTGCAAGTGATTAAGGTAAGCCCCGTGTATGTTTGAGTGAAAGTACTACTTCAGGCACAATGCCTCCTGATTAACAGCTATGCAGGGAGGAAGGGCCCACACCGCTACAGTACACTTCTGATCCCCTTTGTTTTACTACCCGTATCTAAATAAATACTTTTGATAATAGGTAACTGCTCTCTTACTAAGAGATAGTCTCTATCTGTAGAAATGTATTTTGAAAACACTTATTTTGCACAGCAATTTTGTATCCATTTAAACTAAACTTTTATCAATAAAGCACCACTGTTTACATATTAAAAAAAAAAGAAAAGAAAAGAAAAGAAAGAGGGGCAGAATCCCCCACTGAAGGCCAACCAAAGACAACACAGAGGTTGGCTGCTACATAAAAGGAGAGACAGGAAGGGTGAGGAGGCCTCTTGGTGGCTCCAGGCACACAAAGCATAGTTAAACTGAGGGATGATCAGGACAACCGATGTCCCTCTCACAGCGCCAGCCAATAAGCAACACCAGTCTACCACTAGCAGAAGGGGTAACAGTATGGAGAGAGATGCCCTCTGTAGCATTGGGGTGCAGAGACAGCAGAGGTCTCTGAAGGTGAAGCCTGAACACAGAAAACTTTGGAATCCTAAGCAGTTCATCACTAATCTGAAACCTGTGATACATTAGATAGTGACAGCAACAACAAAACACACATCTACCTCAATTCCTGACTGCAATTAAAATTTTATACATTTGAAACTTTTAGTTTGTGTACTGTGTGCAAATATTACTGTAAAAATTTTTTGGAAAAAGAAAAAAAATTCCTGTATCCACTTCAAGTTTCTTAACTCTAATGCAACTATTTACAAATTTCTCCCTTATATACACACTTACACATGCCACGTAAAACGAACTATAAAGATGGATGGTAAAGTGACCTCCCTAAATTGAATGACTGTTCTCCCTACAATCTCTTCTTCTTTCTCTGCTTTATTTTTCTGTATAACATTTATTGCCATCTAGCTACCATAATATTTTGCTTAGGTATTTCATTCATTGTTTTTCCCCCCACTAAATCGAACGTAAACTCCATGAGGGCAGAGATTTTTTTGGCCTGGTGTATTCAGTGCTATATCCTCGATGCTTAGAAAGTAACAGACACTCAAATATCAAATGAATTAACCATTAGGCCAGGCACGGTGGCTCATGCCTGTAATCCTAGCACTTTAGGAGGTCGAGGCGGGCGCATTACCTGAAGTCAAGGGTTCTCGACCAGCCTGGTCAACGTGGTGAAACCTTGTCTCTATGAAAAAATACAAAACTTAGCTAGGCGTGGTGGTATGAGCCTATAATCTCAACTATTTGGGAGGCTGAGGCATGAGAATCATTTGAACCCAGGAGGAGGAGGCTGCAGTGAGCAGAGACTGAGATCACGCCATTGTAAAACTCTGCCTCAAAAAAAAAAAAAAGTTTTTTGAAACTATCCACATTAACATCTTTGAGAACACCATATTTCTGAAATCACTAGCATACATTCCAAATTCTACAGTGCCATTCTCTAACTTATCACAGTATTACAGTCAGTGCTTAAGATATAAAACCACATCTATGAAGTTACATATCACCATGATAGAAACAACTTTTCATTAAAACTAAGGATACTAAAAACTTGGGCTAAGATTCGCTCTCTCAGGTGATCCTATACATTCCCAAACTCCAATGAAAGATAGAGCTTGTTTCTGTTTTTTCTGGGGAACTTCTATTCATGTTTAAAAACTACTTTTTAAAGGCAACAATGAGAATAAGCCAAATCAACAACAAAAAAAGCCTTAACTTTTCTTGAGGTCATTTTGAGCTGAAGTAATTTAAATTCCAAAGAATGATAAAGCCCTCCAAGAAGAGATGAGGCATACAAACTCTATCACTGGTAGCAGAGCCTGGGAAGGCTTGGCACAGTGGCTCATGACTGTAATCTTTTAAGCATAAATATTTTGTGACACACTCACACTTCAGATAATCAACTCATCCTTTGGGTTGTCAGCTATTAAACCTGTCAAGGTATAACTGCAATTAGTTTACAAAGCTCTAT